CGGGTTCCATTTTGAGGCATCTTGAGCAAAGCACAATGGGCTCGGCAAAGCCAATCGCTTATCGGTTGAAACTGCTAGCTGACAGAATCCAACTCGTTATTCAAAGCTTTGTGGGGCGTTGGAAAAAACGGAGTCCCCCAAAATAGCTACTATACCTACCATCAGCTCACAAAACACAAAAACTGAAAGCCTTCTGCTCGTGGCTCCGGGATTCTCGCAGAGGCCCAAAATGCTCCACTCATGATGGCTCCCATGTATCTGCAAAGCCTACAGTAGTTCAGAACCTCAAGCAAGAGATCTCCGAGTACAGGAGCTTCATCATGGCAAGCCGCCAAATAGGCTCATTATGCAATTTGCGGATGTAGCATGACTTTCCATGACTAACGAAGCTTGGTGAATCTGTGAGCAGCAGGCTTTGCTGTCCGCAAGGTGAGTTCAAGCACGCGGTGCAAATCAGATGCAGCAAGGCCCCGATTCGACGACACTCCAACTGCAGTCAGGAACCCCCCGAAATGCTTTGGAAGAGTCCCTTTGAAGCGACACTTCATGTTTTGCCTTCCACGTGCCACAGGTTGCCACTAACAGGCAAGCCAGTGGCTTCAGGAACTCACAGCCGTTGGATTGTTTCCCAACCTCGCGCCATTCAAGAGAAACCCAATCGCCAACAGCCATGCAACTGGCGTGATACTCCCAAATGAAATTCGAAGGACCACTATATGCTTCTTACCCGCAAATGTGATCCATCCTGGGCGAGCGCATTCCCGGTTGCCACGCACGAGGCAAAGCCATGAATGTTGCCACACACCTGCCGCTAACCTTTTTGGCCCTTTGGTGAGCTCCCCTTGGTAGGTGATTCCCCAAAGGAGAAATTGAGGGAACTTAGAATATTTGGTGGACATCATCTGCATGAGCAACACAAGATATGTTTGGTGACTCGGTCTTGTGGCCCTTGGAGTTGCAAGTTGATGGGCATCGGTTTGGGTCCCATGTGGGAGTGTGGTGGCAATGTTGTCAGATGCACGCATGGGAGTTCATGTCCACCAAGGATTTCAATGGCTGTGCCCCATCAAATTTCATAGCCCTGTGAGAACATGAAGTGCCACTGCCAAAAACATAGCCACCAGTGGAGGTTGTAGGGAACACCTGGCGTGTTTTTTCTTTTTTTGCAAATGCATAGGCGCGCCTCAAACAAGGGAACCCCAACCTCGGTGGTTTTCTTTGGGCTTCCTGCAAACCGCCGGAAAGGGTACCCTCAAAAGGGTCACAAACCGCATGGACCAAAACATGCGGTTTGTCACCATGGGTCGGACCCTGCCGCCAGAGTCACACAGTCGCCCCGGCTTGAAAGACCATTATTAGAGCTGATTCGCCTGATAGAGGGTGGAGATAGGGCGCAACGCATTGGGGTTAATCAATGAGGGTTCCTGTGTGCAACATCCAGTGAAAGCAAATAGGTTGAAGGGCAGTGCGTGAAGGGGAGTGCCAAGTGCCATGGGCCAAAAACAAGTTACCTAGTGACACATATGGGGTTTTCGAAACTCAAGCTTCCCCTGTTATGCCCCACAAAAAAAAAGAAAAGAACCAAACAAAGAAGAACAACACAAACAACGAGGATCCTCGAAACCTGCATTCCGAGTCCCGCGCCACGCTTCGCAGCCTCAGCCTGCGGCACAGGTGCGACCGCGAGCCGCTGGTCGTATAGGAGCCGCGCCTGGAAAGCGGCATGCGCGGAGGGTTCCCACAGTCCAGGTGCTTGTACATACCCCTTTTGCCCCGTGGACAAATGAACCCAAAAGGCCTGCTGATGTTCATACCCCTCTCCCCAAGAGGGGTATATACCCCTAAAGTGGGTTGGAAACCACGCAAGCCAAGGGGTATGAACAAGGGGGTATGTACTTCCACCCTTAGACACAGGTAAGGTTCCGGTGACTTGTGCCTTTCGGGCATCCACTGGCCGTCGTACAAGGGACAAGATGGACGAGATGGACAACAAACAATCTTCTCCCGGGACTGGGCGGAAAGTGCAATGCACCGGGAAACTTGGGCTCACTGCGAGAACCTTTGTCCGGATCGCTATGGGCTGGAACCTGGGGGGGGTTTAGTTGGGTTTAGGGCTCAGAAAGGCTATGATCCCACACTTCTCGAGCTGCCTCATTTGGAGACAAACACGGCAAACGCTGTGAGCATGATTCTTCCGGTATAGTTCTACGCACCATGCACATTCATGCGCACATGCACAAATGCGTGCGTGTACAACTATACATCTACCTACTATGTAAACCAAACATACGTATGTCACTATATATTCAAGCGGGCGGCAGTGGGGACTCTCAACCGACAATTGGACAAACGCAGCGCCATGCGACCAGTCTGCCGTTTCTCCGGCTCCGACCCCAGCCCCCGCCTTCCTGTCCGCAAGGGTGTGGAAGGCCTCAGGGCATGGATGCCCCCCCGCCAACCAGAACGAAGCTCGCCCTGTTCTTGCGATCGGTGCGAGATGCAGGGAACGAGGACTGGAATGACCCCGAGAAAAACCATCCAACTTGTGGTTTCCTTTAAGGGGACTCCCATATTCATTCCCTCATTCCCTGCTGAGCACCAGCAAGTTTTGGCCTCACAGCCCCGTAGCCCCAAGCGAACCCTCGCGTCAAAGGCGGGCACACCTCGACCTGCTATCGATGCCTTGGTCTGTTCTGGGTGTTCTCCTGCTCCAGCACAAAAAGTGTGCCCAAGTCTCTGCTTCATGCCCGGGCAATCAAAAAGGGGGGCGGCGGGGTATGTGCGCGCGTTTTGCGGGCCCTTGCAGGCGTTTCGCCAATCCATTTCTGCTTGCGCCGGACACAAAGGACCTGGCAGACTGTGTCTCGAAAATCTGCAAGTCCCAAACGAGAGGTAAAGCCTGTCGAATTACGAAGGCAGGCAGTGACCCGAGGCTTCCAGCCTTGGAAAAGTGAATTGGGGATAGGGGGAAGCGGGGATGAGAATGAATCCCCGCAAGAAGCGGTATAGCATGTCCCTCTGCTTCTGCCATATCCCTGATAAGTGGTTCTTCTCAAAGCCTACGGTCTGATTGTAGGATCGGAAGGATCTAACATGCACAAATCATGCACCCACGTCAAAGGCTGCGCGTTTGCCACCACCGACCCTTCACAATCATTTTTGGGTCGGCCAGTTCAAATCTGCCCAACGTGACTAAAATTGAGACAAGGAATGACGACAATTTGCTCCAAATTGTTCCCAAACCCCGGTACTCGCCTGGTACACCAACTGAAAAGCCTCCTTGCCTCGGTTGGGATTGGCTTGGGGTGAGCTGCAAGAGGGCGTCGCAAACTGCAGCCCTGTAAATACATGTTGCCAGTAATGCCGGACCCGCTCTATATCCTAGGTTCGCTATTATGACAAGCTGTTTTCCCAATTCGTAATTCTGCGAGACCCCTTCGTCACAGAAGAGGCTCCACATGACTGGTGGCACCGTTGAGGGGGGGGCTACTGCAGAATGCAAACCCAACACATCCTGCAACGGACAAGTCGCAAATTTCTATCAGGCTGTGTGGCTTCTCAGCCCAGCCGATCGACTTACAAAATGCCGGTGAGTCGATGCAGGGGTTGACTTGACCAGCATGTTCTTGTGCCCCTCTTGCAAGTTGTCGTTTAACATGCTACGTTGCAAAATCCATATATGCGGTCGATAACCCAAAACACAGGTGAGCATGTTGTTTGATTAATTCCAGACGTATTGCTCATCATCCGACCCTGGACCTCAATTACTTTCACTTCTGGATTGGGCAGCTCGGGAAGCAGGGAACACAGGCCGGAAGGAGCGGTACATGCATAAGCTGCATAGCTGCTCGCAATCGCGACGTGATGTCGGATTCCAACCGGTCCACAAAAGCTGTCTCTGGATGTCGTCAAAAGGATCTCCTGAAGGCCTTTAACCACAACAACAAACGCACGTTCACTCCAGCTGACGCCCCGAACAAACAGGACCCAGGAGTTTTCCTATCCTTGTATAAGGCCATGGGTAAATTCCGCTACGCTTCCGGAAAATCCAGCTTCTGCCCCAATCATGCTTTTGACCTGGCCCTGGTCTATATAGAGCGCTCCTTCAAAAGAGGTTCCTCCCTCCAGGGGTGGTGGTTTTGGGGATAGACTTCTCTCAGCTCAGCTGCTGCCGCCCTTATCCGGGTGCACCACAAGCGCCTGCCGCTTGAACGCGGCACGCACCTCCTCTGCACCCGCCGAAGGTGAAACGCCCAAGATCTCATAGAAGTTCGGCATGGCATGACGGTTACCGGCTTGCAATCTAATGAATTCTGCCTGGCGCATCTGAATTCATTCCTTCGACATGCAACATAGCTGCCGCTGGCACGAATGTGCGATTGTGTCTGGTCGGCATATCTCCCCAACACTAAATGATCCGGGGTGGGGATGCATGTTGCGTCTGTTTGCTGTTGGAAGACCTTCGGCCTCAGTCGATTTGCTTGTGCCAGCTTGGCTTCCCCGGCTTGAGCCGCGGGATGCAAGTCGCAACAGGCAACCGCTAGACCGGCTCAAACTCTGGGAGTCATACTTTGGTTGCAAAGCAGCATCTGCTTTGTTCAAAAACATGTTTGCCAGCGGATGCCAATCCTTAGCAAAGGGGCGCCTAGTCTCGCAAAATAGGGATCATCTGAGGGTTGTATGCAAAAAGAGCCTTAGTATATTCGCGGCTGTTGTGGAATGGCACCGGGATAGGGCAGAATTGGGCAAAGCTGAGTTTTCGCCGAACATTGTCGACACTTCTGCTAGGGGAAGCACATGCCATGCATCACGGATCTGCAACATTAATGTGCCGTGCAGTGCTGGTAGAACGAAATGTGAATGTTTTGGGGGGTGCCCATGGTCAAATCAACAAGCCGGAGGTCCCCGACTTGAATTCTGAGACACACCCACACCAATCTCACTATCTCACTTTCCATCCGGCCGTACATCCCCAACCAACCCACATCATGCGAAGCTGCTCGAAGCCAGCTCGGAAGCTGGTGTGTTGCTTCCAGCGCTCCAGGATCCTGCGCAAAGTTCGGGCAGGGGGCATCTGATTGTCTGCGCTTGGGCCTTGCCTGTTGATTTTGTCCTTGGAAGCGTCCATCTCCCCTGCTTTCTGTCTGAATCAGGAACTCTCATTGCAAGAAGGAGCGAACCACAGAATGAAGGCACCTCCCTCAACCACTTTGGATATGAGGGTTGCATGGTCGAAGTGGGATCTAGCCATCTGACATCACCAAACTGCTAGCTGTGTATAAAGCTCCTCCGTTTTGAGAAGGCATCAAAGCTTTCACAACTGTCACAGTAAAATTAAACATGTGCCAACTGATAGGAACAGTTCCTCATATCCTACCGACCCGTTCCGTGGGCGTTGTCTGGAGATACCTTCCAAGTATGCATGCAGTATCTTTCCTCAGCTTCTTTCCTTCTGTGGCCAAAAAGGGAAGAAAGTCAAACCTGGCCCTCTTTGGGC